AGGTTCCTTAGGTTCCTTAGGTTCCTTAGGCTATAGGTTTTTGCAGGTCGCTTTGGCTGGTTTGGCGGTTGGGTTTCCATTTAACCCACGAAAAGTTAAACTTTCGGCAGGCCAGTTTTTTGGAGCTCATCCAGGGTCATCCAACCATTTGTTTTCCGCGGGAACTCCCTCATGGTTAACGCCGCCGCGTGCCCGCCGAGCCGCTTGTGCAGTACGGAGGGGGGGAGCCAGCAGCCACCGGGAGACATGTTCCTGGGTACTTCCTGGGGCCAAAAGCTGGTGTTCCACCTTGACAACATCTTTCTACGGTTGATTCCCCATTCTTTTCAACCATCGTTCTTTTCAAAAAACCTGCTGTTTCCCTGGGTTTTTGATGGTTTCCTGAAAAGAAGGATCCCTGGAAAGAATGGGGAAGGTAGCCCTAGAATCTTGAAATATTCTGTCATACTTTTGGGGGGTAGCGGAAGCTTCCCTTGACACAAGGAACCCCCGAGGAATCAGAACTGTTTTGAAGCAAAATGAAGCAAACGCACCACCCGTTCCTCCTTTGAACGGCAGCATGTGTTTGTTTTTCTGTTGCTTCCATGTCCTCTGCCGAGATCAATGAGGCGAAGGTATTGGGCTGTGGACAGCCACTGGGCAACCAAAGGTCTCAGGGAAAACTTAACAGAAGCATGCAGTTTCTTTCGATTCAATCTTTGACGTTTCGCGGGGCTTAGTGCGAAGTTTGATTGCAAGAGTGTTCCTCGCGTCACATGTTGGGCGAATGTTGGCGCTGCTTCCAGGAAGTGCCAGCGGCTATGTCTTCCTGGAAAGCGGAGTGTTCATAGACAGGTCCTCGCCAGACTCAGGCGAGCTGTCATAGGTGCTGGTGCACTGGACTCGCGCTCATGTTGTGGCGGCCATTTGTAGTTGCATGGCTCCTGCAAAGCAATACGTGCTCTGTGTTTGGTTGGAGGAACATCCGAAACATCCTGCACCAGTTGATGGATGAAGCTATACAATTACTGGAATAAATTACCTACCAACCAGTATGAAGCCGAACAGTTTCTGCCCCCATGGACAACTATAGGAGCCATGTGGGTGCATTGAAGTTGCTTCAATGCAACGCACGGCGAGAACAGTGCAACTGCAGGGGAGAGCAGCGAGAGCGGCGAGAGCGAGCACAGCAAGGGTGCCGCTCAGATGGCATTCGAAGAGCCTCTTATTTTGACAGGGCTCCTTAAAAGATACACTTTGCCCATTTGAAACATGGCTTTTTCCACCAACATAAAGGGAACCCACCATTTACAAGGCAATGTTCCGGTGTATAATGTAAGGATCCCTGTTTGAGTCATTCAGAGAAGAGACGTTGGGACTTTGTGGCCTAAAGAGGCTGGGCCTTCCTTTGCAGCAAGGGGTCGGCAGTCAGCCTACCCTTGCCATGGAGAAAGTGCTGCAGTGAATGATGCCGGTTTGAGAGCGATGTGATTCGCAACACATTGTCCAGGCTTGTAGATACACCCGGTGAGCCCTCCAGTGGTGATTTGTTTGTTTTGTTACACCCTTTTGTTGGTTGCTCTTGTTAGTTTCGCATGCCAACAATGAACAGGCCAAAAGAGATTTCGCCGCGTTCCCCCCCCCCCCCCGGCTGTTTGTGTTTTGGTTTCTTTGTGCATGTGTGCATGTGTGGTTGGGTGGTTGGTGGGTTGGGTGGCGGGCAAGGCGAGTGAGGGAGTGAGTGAGCGGAGCAGAGCGGAGCGGAGGGGAGTGGAGTGGAGTGGAGAGGAGTTGAGTGAAGTTGAGTTGAGTGAGGTGAGTGACTTGAGTTGAATTGAGTGATGTAAGGTGAGGTGAGGCGATGTGAGGTGAGGTGAGTGAGGTGAGCGAAGGGAGCGAGGTGAGTGGAGTGAGTGAGCTTAGTGAGGGTAGCGAGGTGTGTGAGGTGAGTGAGGTGTGTGAGGTGAGTGAGGTGAGTGAGGTGAGTGAGGTGAGTGAGGTGAGTGAGGTGAGTGAGGCGAGTGAGGTGCGTGAGGTGAGTGAGGTGAGGTGAGGTGAGGTGAGGTGAGGTGAGGTGAGGTGAGGTGAGGTGAGGTGAGGTGAGGTGAGGTGAGGTGAGGTGAGGTGAGGTGAGGTGAGGTGAGGTGAGGTGAGGTGGGTGGGTGGGTGGGTTGGGGGGGGGGAGGTTGGCTGGGTGGGTGGGGGGCAGTTCGATCTCGCGACACTGTTTCAGAGATGCCATGACAATGATTGCACGTTCTACATCAGGTGAGAGTGGCTTTCCCAAGAGACGTTGCTTCCTGACAAGCATCGTGGATGGGGGTGCTGCGGGAGCATGGAAATTATTTGTTGTCCATTGGGAAGCTATGACATGTGATGCAAGCTGAGCCACTGGTTGCCCAAATGCCCAGAAAGCCGAAGGGCAAATGTCTGTTTCTCCAGCCCCCATATTTGCCATGGACCCTCCACGGGGGCGAACTGGGGAGGGGGGGGGGGGTTACTCCTTTATCAAAAAGGCCTTACTAAGGGTCTATCAACTTGGCTTATCCTGGGGATTATCCAGGTATGCCCCCCCCCCCCGGCATAGGCCCTCCTAGGAGTGGACCCCCCCCCTCGTACCTCCAGCTAACTCCAGCTTAGGAACCCCCGGCAAAAGCCCAGCGCAAGCTGAGCAAGCTGAGCCTTGGCGACACCGAGTGCGAGTTCAGTGGGGGTGGGGCACATTTTTGGAAAGTGTGCAAAGGAAGCCGTAAAAGAGACAAATCATCTCTTGTGAGCCCCCTATTTCAGAGCATACCCGAATGATGGACGCTGATTGCATGGCAGATGCCGCTGCATTCTACAGTGTTGTGTTTGCATTCCCGTGATTGCTGACAGCTACTATTGCAAGGTCCTTTGATTCACTTTGGAATATCCGTGTGAAGAATGGTCAAGCAAGCATGTTCCCACCAGTAGTTGACGGGCAATGGCCCCAGATGTAACCCACTTACCAGCGCAGTCAGGTCGTTCAGCCTGTGACAGGAGAGAGGGAGCGGGAGATTCAGACAGACTGACAGAAGGACATGCCAGGCATGTGACATGCAAGGTTTTGCAAGAGCGTTCCGTTTATTGGCTTTTCCAATCTTAGGCAAATCCATGCGAATATTTGAGCCATGCTGTAGCTAGCTGATGCTGGTTGGGCATCGCCAAGAGAACCCCCTCAGATTGGTTGGTGGACATGAATCCCACCGAATTTTGGCCATCGAAGGGTTTTTAGTTAAAACATACCCAACGCAAAGCCTCATCCAAACCCGATGACTCGTCGGCGACTCCAAAACTGAGGGTTTTTTTCGCGGGGGTCTATGGCCATCAGGGGCGATGACCAGCCGGTAAAACATAGGGTCGCTCCCCAACAAGTTGCATTCAGCAGTGACAAAAGGCTGAAGCTTGCAGAGTTGAAAGCGATGATGTTTGGCGTTTGCTCGGCCTGACAATGGGGAAGGTACCGGGAAGATCAGCTTCCTCTTAAAGGGACCCTCTGTCAGGTGCCATGTTAGTGGGAGGGATGTTGTGCTTAAGGCCTCGATCGAGGTGTTTCGCTTGGATTCCGAAGTGCAGAGCCAGGATGTCCTTACGGGGGGGGGGGTTGGTGTGTGTGTGTGGTTTTGGTAGTTGTGTTTTTTTGGAGAGGGGGAGGGGTTCCAGCATGTTAAGCCAGTTTGCCGGTGCCGAGGAAGAGGCAGCAATCGCTCAGCGACGGCGACGCCGCGAACAATGAGCTCGAGCCGAGCCTTGTCTGAAGCGGGAGGTGCACGATGATTCATCTATCAACGCGCGTAAATTAGTGATGGGCTGTTGCAACACAGGCTGGTAGTGGGTCCAAAAAGCATCTCCCTCCTGTTATAGAGAATGAATTCGTGATGTACCTCAACTGAAGCTTGAAAGTCACTCACAATGACGTCTCCCGTCACAATGAATACGGCTCGCAGAGGTAGCGGGCGAAAAGCAAGTTGCAAACTCCGGGCTCTCAACTCACAAGCAGATGCCTTCAAAATGCACGGAACTTGGCTTTGGCCATCTTGCATCTAGTGCCCGCGGGTGAGGTAGGATATAGTGTAACCACTCCCCTTTGTCAAGGTTGGCAAGGCTCGAGAAAAAAACATGGATTTTGGGGGTAAGAGCACTTGTGTTAAGTCGTCCTTGTCCTGTCAGGCGTCCCCATGCAGCGCAGTTTTGCTACCCAACACATGTTCCAGCGCTTGCTGGTAGAGGCAGGTTATGACGGTTTTGTTGTGGTGTTTGCCCAATCGTGCTGCTTCTGCTGCTGTGCTGCTGCTGCTGCTGCTGCTGCTGCTGCTGCTGCTGCTGCTGCTGCTGCTGCTGCTGCTGCTGCTGCTTTCAACGTGGGGTCCCCATGCTGATTCCAGTTGCCTTGGCCAACAAACCAACATGAACATGCTTTTCGACGTGTCCACACGTTTTCCCTGGATCAGCGCTCTTGAGCGTTGCTCTTTCCGGAAACGCGTCTCCAAATGGGATTTGCTCTTGTCGGACGCTAGCGGGGTGCCCCCCCCAATTGGTTCCTCTCCTGTCCTTTCTGGTCCTGGGTTGTTTTGGCTTGCCAATCCTTGATTGTTCAGACAAACGTCAGTAAGACACTTGCTGCTTCAGGCCAGCTGATCTCATCGAGATCTGTCTTGAAGGCCCTGTTTTGGCACTGAAAGAAAGTAGCACTTGCATTGCGAGGAGTCTGACGGTTGCCGTCAGGAGCGTTTTATCACTACTTTGTGCGCATTTGTTTGAGACATGGCCACTTAGACAACTAACCCTCTTGGGCCGCTTTCGGATATTGTATTGATCAGCCAACTGCCAGTTTTCTCGCATACCCAAGTCATGTGACTTGACAATTTCTCGCTGCTCTTGGCTAGGACCTTATCAGAGACTACAAAGCTTTCTCACAGACGGTGCCGCTCGTGCCCGACTGGCCACAGCGAGGCAAGCAGTGCTTGCCTAGCGGCCAGAGTAGTGTTGTTAGCCCGGCTTTGCCGAATTTCAGACTTGGGTTTGCAAGGCTTGTGTTTGCAACTGCCATTGGGCGGCAAACTTGGGGCGCGTGTTGGAGGCTTCGGATCAAGACGCCTGCCTTCAGCAGGCCCGCTTCGATCAATGTCCCATACTGTTGAGAAGCGGCACCCGCCCCCTGCTCCCAAGCTCCGGCGTGACCGCTATTGATTGCTTGCTTCTTCGGAAGATAGATGGTCGCTCGCCACTGCCAGAGAGTGAGCCCTTATTGTGTTCAGGCTGAGGAGACCTTTGAGGATACTAGTTGTTGATTCTGATTGCGATTCTTGCGGATCCTCTATCAAAGATATATTTTTGCTGTGCTACCATGAGTCTTTGGCTTGAGGCTTGGGCTCCACACATGGGTTGCTCACCATGTTGTGTGCCGTCCGGGCAGCCAGGCAAAAAGAAAGCCAGAGCCCGCGCCGCAGGCGGTGCAAGAACGCGCGGGACTCGAAACTCAATGGAATGACCGCAAGAAAAACCATCCAACTGGCTTTACGGGAATCCCCTTCCAGTTCATTCCCAACACCCGGAAGGTGATCCCCTACAGAGCACCAGCAAGTTGGTTGTCCTTCCAAAAACACCGTCCCCCAGGGAGTCCCTAATTGTTTGGACACCCGCAACTCAGCGTGCAGCGTCGAGCCTTGCTTTGCGGGTGGGACTTTGTAAGAGGCATGTCGGGATATCGTATCCTTCGTATCCCAGACTGTTCCCCTCGCATGGGCAAAGTTGGCGCGCTTGCTCGGCAAACGGGGAAGGGCCTGCTATTTTCGGCGCTGCAAGCTTCCCGGGGCAAAATGTGGCTTTAACAGATGCTCAGGGAATTTGTAAATGGTGTCATGGTTGATCGGTCATTTCATTTCAGGAGGCAGTCATGGTAGTCGGGTCAAGGTGTGTGTGAGAGAGAGAGAGACAAAGTTGTTCTTGAGAGTGTGTGTGTGTGGCTGTGTCTCTGTTTGTGTCTATGTCTGTGTGTGTGTGTGCGCGTGTGGGTCTGTGTGTGTGTGTGTCTGCGTGTGTCTGCGTGTGTGTGTGTGTGTGTGTGTGTGTGTGTGTGTGTGTGTGTGTGTGTGTGTGTGTGTGTGTGTGTGTGTGTGTGTGTGTGTGTGTGTCTGTGTCTGTGTCTGTGTCTGTGTCTGTGTCTGTGTCTGTGTCTGTGTCTGTGTCTGTGTCTGTGTCTGTGTCTGTGTCTGTGTCTGTGTCTGTGTCTGTGTCTGTGTCTGTGTCTGTGTCTGTGTCTGTGTCTGTGTCTGTGTCTGTGTCTGTGTCTGTGTCTGTGTCTGTGTCTGTGTCTGTGTCTGTGTCTGTGTCTGTGTCTGTGTCTGTGTCTGTGTCTGTGTCTGTGTCTGTGTCTGTGTCTGTGTCTGTGTCTGTGTCTGTGTCTGTGTCTGTGTCTGTGTCTGTGTCTGTGTCTGTGTCTGTGTCTGTGTCTGTGTCTGTGTCTGTGTCTGTGTCTGTGTCTGTGTCTGTGTCTGTGTCTGTGTCTGTGTCTGTGTCTGTGTCTGTGTCTGTGTCTGTGTCTGTGTCTGCGCGTGTCGCGTGTCTGCGTGTCTGTGTCGTGTCTGCGTGTGTCTGTGTGTCTGCGTGTGTCTGCGTGTGTCTGCGTGTGTCTGCGTGTGTCTGCGTGTGTCTGCGTGTGTCTGTGTGTGTGTCGCGTGTGTCTGCGTGTGTCTGTGTGTCTGCGTGTGTCTGCGTGTGTCTGCTGCGTGTGTCTGCGTGTGTCTGCGTGTGTCTGCGTGTGTCTGCGTGTGTCTGCGTGTGTCTGCGTGTGTCTGCGTGTGTCTGCGTGTGTCTGCGTGTGTCTGCGTGTGTCTGCGTGTGTCTGCGTGTGTCTGCGTGTGTCTGCGTGTGTCTGCGTGTGTCTGCGTGTGTCTGCGTGTGTCTGCGTGTCTGCGTCTGCGTGTGTCTGCGTGTGTCTGCGTGTGTGTCTGCGTGTGTCTGCGTGTGTCTGCGTGTGTCTGCGTGTGTCTGCGTGTGTCTGCGTGTGTCTGCGTGTGTCTGCGCGGTCTGCGTGTGTCTGCGTGTGTCTGCGTGTGTCTGCGTGTGTCTGCGTGTGTGTCTGCGTGTGTGTCTGCGTGTGTGTCTGCATGTCTGCGTGTGCGTGTGTGTGCGTGCGTGTGTGTGTGCGTGTGTGTGTGTGTGTGTGTGTGTGTGTGTGCGTGTGTGTGTGTGTGTGTGTGTGTGTGTGGTGTGCGTGTGCGTGTGCGTGTGCGTGTGCGTGTGTCTGTGCGTGTGCGTGTGGTGTGTGTGTGTGCGTGTGTGTGTGTGTGTGTGTGTGTGTGTGTGTGTGTGTGTGTGTGTGTGTGTGTGTGTGTGTGTGTGTGTGTGTGTGTGTGTGTGTGTGTCTGTGTGTGTCTGTGTGTGTCTGTGTGTGTCTGTGTGTGTCTGTGTGTGTCTGTGTGTGTGTCTGTGTGTGTCTGTGTGTGTGTCTGTGTGTGTGTCTGTGTCTGTGTCTGTGTCTGTGTCTGTGTCTTTGTCTGTGTGTGTGTCTGTGTTCTTGTGTGTTTGTGTGTGCGTGTGCGCGCGCGTGTGTCTTTGCCCCTGGTAGACCCATCAGCTAAGCTAAGGCAAGCCAGGATAGTCACTTAGCCTATGGACAACGAAGGTTGGCCGGACAGCTGGTTGTTCAGGTTCAGCGGACGGTGAGTTGAGGTTTGTGATGGGTTGCCGGACAGATGGCACCGGCTAGTTTAGATCTTTTCTACGCCTGGAAGAGAGTTAGGATCCACCGGAAGGCAGTCAAGGTTAGCAAATTAGGTGAGGCTAGTTAAGTAAAACAGTTGCCCCCACGCCTCCGCACGCGTCCTGAATCGACCATGACGAGCACGCCTCGCCTTAGCTTGTCTTGCAAAACATTGGTTCTAGCAAGGGGTTGTGCGGATTTCATCACCCAACGAGTTTTTGAAGAAGCACGATCGCACCACCGCACCCAGGAAAGCCCCTGCACGCAAATTGCAACATCTGATCGCCCCGGGCCCCACAAAACGCGCTTCCCACCACCGAGGGCCTCGGCGGGGATCGCGGCCTGGCCGAGGCGCTGGGCGGGGTATTGAGGCGCCCATTCGCGCACATGTGTGTTGCCAGCGGGCTTTTGTTAAATTCGAATGGGAATCGGCTGGCCCAGACTGCGGATGTTGGTGGAGCTTTTTTGCCTCGCATCTATGCTTGGAGCTTTAGTGCGTGCCCGCATTTGTGCCGCCGGCCGGGATCTCCCAGTGGGCTCAAAGCTCAGGTCCACCTACAGTGTATTCCTACGGTACTCCAAGTACTTGAGAAACCCAGCCTTTTTTCGGCAAAATTCCAACCTTGGAGGGCTTGTCAAGTACATGAGAGCCCTAGTCGATTAATGGGGGGTGTCCATTTTGGAGGGAATCCTACAGTTTCTGGGGAAACACCTGTTGATGAATCCGGGATCGACATGCCTTCAGGGAAACCCAAGGACAATAACATTCACACACGCGCACACTGTTTTGAGAGGGGGGCCCCGGGGGGCTGGGAGGCTTTGCTCTCGCAGGCCGCATTTTGACGGAGTCTCTGCCGCCGGAGTACTTCAAGCCACCGGTCTGAAAGTCTTGGTCACCTTTACAGGGGCAGAGGAGGTTGTTTGAAGGCTGGCGGTTAAACCGTGCTGAAACCAGGGGTTGGCCCAACCGGCTGGTTGAGATCGTCTCCATTTACTCAGGGCGGAGTGAGGCGGAGTGAGGCGGAGTGTACCTGTCAGAGCAAGTTGGACCACCCTTTCGATTCATACATAAAGAGTAGAATCCCTTGTGAAACATTCCCGCTTGGGAAGGGCAGGCTTCATCCAACGCCCAACTCCAAAGAGACATCTAATCATATTGATGCGCGTGCTATCTGAACCGAATGCCATCGGGCAAGGAGCCGGTGTAGTGTGGCCGCATCCTTTCGTCCTTGAGGTCTCGAGGGGGTCGAGACGGTGCTTTAGAGACTTGGCAAAGCATGGGATACGTGGTTCTTTGTTGAGGGGGGGAAGGGGAGTTGAATGGGTCAAAGTTGCCAGCGGGACGGAAGGCGCCAGCCGGCATGGTTCCAGTTCAATGGGCGGGAGCCCTTCCGGCAAGTGCACTTGGAGTGGTCCGAGCGGCTCGTAGGCTTCGATACTTAAAGCACCCGTGGTCATTTTTAGGTAGGTCCTTCTGGCGCGCTCCCAAGAAATGTTTGTGTGGTGCTCGCTGACTCTTTGGCGCAAGTGCAAGCGGGCCCCTGGCTGACAACATTGACTTGTGGATCTAAAGCCCCACGGGTCCAGGAAAGGCCGAATTGCAATTCGAAGGCCCACCCATTCCCTGCCTTGGAATTGGTAGCCGTCTCATCTCTTTGGCCGTAGGCCGCAAATGAAGGGCCCATAGTGATTGCAGGGCAGCCAAGTCGGCTTGAGGAGTGTTAGTAACAACTCGCTACTTTGCATGTTCCACAAGACGTCTTCCATTCAAATGCCTACTTCATGGTTCGTGCTTGATGCTTGAAATTGCGGGGGCGCACGCCAAGTCTCTTGTTCGAGAGCAAACCGCATGCTCTATGACTCAAAACACTCAACACTCCCCCCGTTCCCGGCCTGGCGCGTGCGCTGATGTCAGCCCATCCGACACATCCGAGGGCACTCTGAGCCTCTTCTTGCCCCAGCAGCTCACGCCGCGGCAGAAGCGGAGACTCTCCTCGCCCCTGACCACCTTTATCCCGGAGGCGCGGGTGGACATGGGACCCAAGAAACTCAGGGCTCGGTCCGGGCTTGCGCTCGTATTCGCAGAACCATGTGGGCATGTGCCAAGCTGGGGCACCCAACAAAAATGGATGGCTTCCTTTTGGTTCCCCTGAAATGTGGGTTTACCGTAACCCCTAAAACACCACCGAATACACCACCCATGCCAGGATAATACGGGGGAGAGCCTGCAAGAGGTGCGTGGCTTGGCGGCAGGCATGGCAGTTGCACCAAAGGGTGGATTTAAAATGCGTGTTTGTGAGGGAAATGTCAATCCCCACATATGGCCCAATTTGTTTTTTCATTCTAATTGTTTGAGCCAATGGCATTTTTTGAGGGTTCCTGTCAAGGTCGATTGAAAGGGACGCCATACAGATACCAACCAATGTTGGATGTCCATCGTTTTTAGACAAATGCATTTTCTGTTATCTCCATTGGTCTTTGCTATACGTGAGCGACAGACAAGTGGCCGGTTTTTCCGAGTGGCGGGACATCTAAGAATGGCCACCAGCTCAAAGCGTCTCACAGCACGATGTGAAAGATACTTCTTTCAAGCTTTGGGTACCCACTTAATAGTAGGAAAAGGGGCGATTGGGTACGTCAGGTAAGTGGGTAATAGCCATGGTTATAACCCACTTTGGTTATAAGTGTCCTGAGTGGGTTATAACCAGGCTTACTAACACCTTACTAAGTACCCGATCGCCCCTGTAAGTAGGTGTATGGGATACTGTTCTACCCAGAGACGTTGTAGCCAATCCGACCAGGCCGGTTCCTCGCATGGTAGGGGCTCAAGCTTGCATTTGGGGACGTTTGTTTGTTTGTTTGGGGGACCTGAACAATTGTGCTTGTTTTGTGTTTTCCTTTTAAAACAATCAAAAAGGGGGGAACCCTCAAAAAAGACACCCAATTTGAAGTTTTCGCGATTCGGACTCCCCAGTAGGGCGGATCCTACTCTGCGCGCCTCGCGCTTAAGGCGAGAGCATCTTCGAGGCTTTCTTTGCCGGAGACTTGGGATGCCCAAAAAACCCGAGAGAACACACCTCTGTTTTTTTGGGAAAACACACCTCCGATTTTGGGCCCATTTCTTTTGAGTCTTAAATGTGCTGAAACTTCAGCACCTTGACCTTCCAACCTCTAATGCCGAGCTTTGGCCAGACCCGTTTCCACTCTGCCTTGCTTTCTGCATCAATCTGCCCAATTGAGCAACGGACAACATGAACTGGCAGTTGTGGTTCATTTGTTCATTTGGGCGGGGAGAGGGACCACGAAAGCAAGCCTTACACAGATTTGCAAATCATGCATAAACGGCAAGCAGCTGAATATCGCGCGGTAACATTATCATAGACACGTGCAAATTGCAAAGTGCATATAGCCTTCCGCTATCCACCAACTACACAACCACCGAAGAAAGACTGGAATGATGATTCCCCCTGTAAAAACCAGCGAACAGTGATTTCAACCATGGTTTCAAAGTGATGCGAGATGGATATCGCAACCATCCACCAAAACCTGACATGTTTTTGAAAGACCACCTCCCTTTCGGATAGCACCCTGAGGCCACTTGCCCGAAGGCTTTAACAGGGCGACCCGCTTCGTCCTGCCCGGTCCGCGAGGTCATCGATGTCCAAGAGACCCAGCAAGAGTCCAGGCCGCGTGCGAAGACGGTGACCTGTCTGCACTTCTGGGGCGTCCCTCCGACGGATCGGTCACATCGCCTGGCTTGTCTGAAGTGGTTGCTCGCGCTTGTGCCCAGGCGAGCACAGCATGTGGCAAATGGAGAACCAAGGGTTTTGTTTGCAAGTTCACAGCATGTCTGTCTCAGGTCAACCGAGAGTCTACCCCAGCTAAGCTTCGGGGGACCCCCTTCCAAATTTTTGACCCATCTCTTCGTATTTGAAGTTCCCTTTGCCATCCTAGAGTCCAAGAGAGTTCGTGTCTGGTGCAGTTACGTTCTAGTGAGCCGTCTTGCATGGAACCTGGCAACCTTTGTGATTGCAAGGTGCCAGCAAGCTTACTGGGATGCCAGTGGGGCTACTTGGAGCTTGGGCGCATGCCGGGTAGTAGCGCACAGACTTTAGTGTAAAATCTTGAGTTTTGAACAACCAGCATCGTTCAAGTTTGACGACTACATTTGGCACTTAACTTTCCAGGTTTGCGCGGCCTAACGCCCTTGCAGTGGAATCAGAGGGTTCACCAAATCAAGACGTGTTCAAAGCAGTGCTTTGACACGGATTATCAGACAGAAGAAGACCATGCAAAGGCTGATGCAAAAAGACACACTAGTGTAGGCAAAAGCAATCTAGTGATAGAGCCAGCAGCCTTGTCCCTGCAGACCGCGTGGCACTCTTTGTGTTTGTGCCGCATACTCCACGGGGCATTTAGTAAATAGTTACATCGGACAAAAGCCATGGTGAGAAGTCTTCTAAGTGGGTTACAACGAGGCTTACTAACCACTTCCCTGACGTACAGAATCGATCGCCCATTTAAGTAGAGATACTTATTTTTCCTGGAGTTCGAGTGCTCCCGAAGCTGGCACCAGTTATGGATGAAGCCCTACTGTGGATGCGCGAAATCCTGGAATGATGACCCCCCCCCCCCGGAAACACCAACCAACGCGGGTTTCAACCATGATCTCATTTCGTGGTGCGAAATGCGGATTTCGCAACCATCCTCTGCATTGCATGGGATAAATCGGTGGGTAAACCACCAATCCCAACTGAGTCACCATCAAGCCCCGGTAAAAAAATGCAGGGTAGCAAGAGGCAATCCCAGCCATACATGGGTGCGGAGATCCGCCTTTTTAGTTTTTGGGACCATTTTGATACCGGGTTTTGATGGCTCAACTCATGCCTTTGGATGTCCATCGGGCGAGGAGGTTGGGGCCCGGAACCCGCACCACCGGCGGACCAGACTGGCATCCCTGGTTCCAGGCGCTTGGGATGGGCCGCTCGGGGCTTCTGGCACCCCTTTCCGCGGGTTTCAAGAAAACGAAAGGAGACCCGGAGCCATTTTTTGGGGGGTCTCCCACAAAAAGCCTCACCCAGATGGGCAAATGCTGGCCTTCGGAATGTGCACAGAAGCTAGTTGACTTGGATGCTCGATTTTGCAGTGTTCGATTCTCGTCGGGATGGAGTGAATGCTTGTGGCCGTTCGGCTTGAAACTTGCCTCGCGATTTGCCAGGCGTGGAAAAGAACCATTCGCGAATGTGCTGGCCTGACGGTGTGCAGGGAGGCCCACTAGATGCTTGGATTGAAGAAGCTGCTCGTTGCGCGACGGAGGTTCGGAGCGCTTTCACTTTGGTCCCCCTTGGGCAGAGCTAAGACAAATACATCCTCAGAAAAGACACGTCGCCCAGGTGTTGATTTGCGTATTTGGTGTATTTCATGTTGCGCTGCGCCATGACGAACAGGCCGTTTCAAGCACTCAAGCAGGTTGCTCTGGGTGTTGCACTTTTGCATATGTTAGCAAGCTGTTTCTGGTGCATGCCACTTTTGCCGCAAGTGGCCCAGCTAAGGAGCAAATGCTTGTGGAGCGTGGCTTCTGCCCAGGCAAGGACGGACGAGTGCGCTATGGACTCATGTGGGTGAAGACTGCTCACCGGGGAGGTCGATTTGAAAGGGAACAGACCCAAGATGTTAAAACTTTCAATCTACGGCTGTGTGCTTCTGACTGCTTGGGCACAGAAATGCAGGAAATGACTTTGGTTGCTTGATTTGTTGGCCGGGAGAGAATGCTGTGCCTGGTTCGTTTGTGCTTTTGTTCTTTGTCCAATCGGTTATTTGATTGGTTGGTGTGCTGGCTGGCTGGCTGGTTAGTTGGCTGGCTGTATTGTATTGTGTAGTGTTTTGTAACTATTGTGTTGCGTTGTTTTGTGCTGTGTGGCATTGTTTTGTATCAGTATCATGATGTATGTTATTAAGCCGTTGTGTTAGCTTGTTTGTTACTCAGTTAGTTAATTAGTTAGTTAGTTAGTTAGTTAGTTAGGTAGTTAGTTAGTTAGTTGTTTTGTTTGTTTGTTTGTTTGTTTGTTTTTTCTCGTTTTCCTCTCCCTTTATTACACCATCTCTTTGTCTTGGAAACACAGGTTGGGTGATAATGTGGGAGAGTAGAAAGGGAAAGTTGCTCAGGGTCTTATTGTCAGGCCGTTGGCTTCCTCGTAATCAAGGATGACTCAGTTTCTGAGACACGAGGCAAGTGACAGTGATTTGCTTTGCTTGTTTAGTTTGTTTGTGTGCATGCCTGCCTGCCGGCCTGCCCGTTCGCCCGCCCGCCCGCCTGCCTGCCTTCCTGCCTGCTTGGTGTTTGTTTGTTTGTTGGTTGGTTGGTTTTCTCATTCGTTCATGAGCCTCCCTCCAGCGCACACACCCCAGTATCATTCATGCTTCTCGTTTTTGCGTCAATTTGCATCTGCCGCTGCCATGGTCTAATAATTCTTCCAGGATGTTTCATCCTTCGATATCCCAGTGCGTATGCCAGGAAATGTCAAATTTTGGCGAGGTATTGCCGTGTTGCAGTCCGCATTTCGCCCTCTTTCGGGGCATATTGCAGTCCGTAGCACGGCTTTGCCGGCAAAGCGGGGGTGCCGCAGGCCCCATGGACTATCGGTTCAACGGAAATGCCTTTGTGCTCTCCGTGCTGGCACAAGCTCTGAACCCGAACCTTGGCGATATCAAGTCCAGACTTGGGGAGCCGACTCATGGAACATGGCAGCAGGTTCCTCGGCCCTTGGCAGATTCACTTGTCGACTTGTTTGAAAATTACTGGCCTTTGGCCTGTTTGGGCTTTCTCACGTGGGCCGGCTTGAAAGCAGCAAGTATTATAGATTGGATTCAGTTGCATACTACAAGTCAGGGAAAAGGGTACGCCCTACAGCTTACCTTGTTTTGAGAGGCTTGCGAGCTCGCCAAACTTGGTGGGAATCCGCTGTTCCTCCCATCAAAGTCGATCCGAGGACAGCTCATCCCAACGACTTGGCGTACTGCACAGCCTTGAGCCTATGTCAAGGGGCTGTCGGTGAGATTTACTCGCGTCAAGATGAGATGATGAGCCCTTCCCACCCCAGTGTTGGGGTTTTCTGTTGCCTCCTGCCTCTGAGCATGGGAGACCCCCTCACTTTTCAATCCATCGCCTGGCCAAGCCATGCTAATCCCTTCCCCCGAACAATACCACCTTTTTTTCACAAATATTCGCCGGGCCAAAGCAGAAATTTATCAATAGGGTTATCAGGGTCAGAGCTCCCCCAGAAGCAAATGTAGTCATCCCTTCAAACGGGCCCAATAACCTTGTAAATAGGGTGGAAAGGCTGACCTTGGTTTTGTCAATTCCGGTTAGTATGGGCCCAGTACTGGAAGCTGGGTCCTGGAGTCCCCCTTAGTACGACTGGCAGGGAGTCAGCCGGTTTGGAAAAAATGAGATTCACAGGGAGCATGTATTTCCAGGGGGGAAGGGATGATTGCGCTTGCCTAGCTGGCGCCAGCAGTGACTCAATGCCTCATGGTCTCTGATGCTTTTGGCCAACCCGTTACAATATCAGCGGTATCACTCGGAGAGGCTACGATTTTTTCGATAGCTTGCTTCTTTTCCACCGTGGACGCTTTTGCGCCCTTTTCCCCCCCCTCAGCCCCGGGTTTTCCGCGGCGGGTTTTCCGGACGGGAAGCTGCAAGGTCGTCAGCGAGGACGACCACATCCCGGCGCTGCCGGCGGATCACCGGGAGCTCCTAGAGGAGTGCGGCGGAGCCGCGGGCCAGCCGAGGGCCGAAGCGGGCGCTCCCGTCTCGGGCATGGGTGGCCATTTATGGGGGTTGGCTCAGGCGACATTTCAGGGTATTCCCAAGGTCCCAGGGTAAGGTCCGGTTTTTGCAGGTTTTTGCTGTGGCGTTTGGAATCTTGGAACCTGGGCAGAAATGTGTTCGCCGCTCTTTCTTGCGGTGCTTGGGGCCAGTTTCGGTCAGATGCACTGATTTCGAGCCCGACTGAACATGTGAACGGCGCTGGTACCCCGTTGATCCCTTCTGTTTTGGTTGCGCGGTTTAGGTGCTACCACCTTGAGACATCAATGCTGTTTTGTGCTTTCAAAAGGTGCACTGTTTGTTTCGTGCACGCTTCGCAGAACCAACTCCAGGGGGCTTTTATGACAGCTTTGCCCCAACTCTACCTCAAAGCAGCCTCTTCCCTGTTTTCAACATGGAGGGACTCTGCGCTTGCAAGCATGGATGGGCACCTTTTAAAAGCAAAGGTTGAGAACCACGGCGAAGGTGCAGACTGCTATAAGTCGCCATGTCCGGTAGGATGAGCCGGAGGTGAACCACTGCAGAGCACACAAGGACTGCTGGGCAAAGAAGTCGTGCCTTAAAATAGGACCCCAAAATCGGGGACCCCAAAAATCGGGGACTGCCCCCAAACAATCCCAAGGCCCTCAAAAACAAACACCCACACACACACACAAGTTGCAGACATGTTTTCTGTCTCATTCAATAAGACACATCAATCTAGAGATGCCGGCGACCCCACCAACGTATGCAGTAGAAGTTGGTCTTGTGGCAAGAGCCAGCTTTTGCGTGCAGGAAGACTCGGATGACATGCTGCAGCATATCCCCGATGGCGGTGTCCTATGCTTGGTCGCTGAGCTGCAGCATCGGCTTTGGGCAGTGCCTTTCTTGGCCAAGGAGTTGCGTCACAAACAAGTGCCAGCGTGCTGTGGGTTTGACAGTGGCCCCGTTTCAGGACCAATCCAAATGAGTTGTGTTTGTTTGGCCGCCAGAAGTTGCACTCAAGTTGGCTTGTTTGTGCCGGGGGCAAAGCTTTGCCAGGTCTCCAAGTTGCCCTTCTTCGACTTTAGCTTTGCATTGCTGGACATCCTGCGCCAAAATCTGGAACAGGCAGATGGCGCGGCGCGGGGCGGCCAACAGAGCGGCTGTCTGGCTGTGGGGCATGGGCAAGGGTCCCCCGAGTCTGGTCAGGATGGTTTGCAACCTGGTCGTTCATTCACTCCGGACCGTGTGGGGTGCTCAATCGCCCCAGCTTTTCCTCCAGGACCTGAATATGTTATGACAGCAACAGGATGGATATGCTTTATGCTTTTCAAGACCTACTGTAGATGGGCGAAGTCCCTTTCGCTCCAGCTACAAAACCCTGGAATGATGCGATTCCTCTGCAAATGCCAGCCAACAATGGTGTCTCATGGTTTCAATATGGTGCGAACGCATTTCGCAACCATCCACAGCTCAGGCCTCGCCAGTTCAGCCCCTTCCTCTCGGCTTGCCCTGTGTTGTCACTGCTCTGTTTGAGAGGATTGCCTCAACATGAGATTCAGCTTAGCCAGACCGAACCGTGCAGTTTTGATGTTCTCACGTTTTCTTTGACTCTGGAAGATCCCAAGTTCAAATTCTGCGGTCTTGTGCTAGAGGTTTCCCATCAAGCCGTACTCCAGTGTTTCGCTGGACAGAAATGGGTCTGTCTTTTGAGGGTTCCCCTTTTTCGGTGGTTGTAATTTTGGAAACCAAAGGAAGACCGAAATCGTTACCCCATTTTTGTTGGTTGTAATTTTGGAAGCCAACATTGCACAACCGAAATCCATTTTTGGGGTGCTTCTTTTTCTGTGAGACAGACGCAAATACTACTTCAAGGGGGCGATTGGTTACGGCAGGTAAGTGTGTAGTAAGCCCGGTTATAACCCAGACAAGCCATGTCCTTTCTCGTTTATTTCACCAGGCCTACTAACCACTTACCTGACTCCCCACAGAACGGAGACTTACAACCATGGCTTTTGTGGGTTGTCTCATGGGTATTCCAACCACTCACCTGACGTAGCCATCGCCTCGATCGCACATCGATCGCCCCTTTCCGTAGTGGAAGGCTCATAAGAGATTCCCTTTGGTTGGCTAATTGTTCCACAACTGGATGGCGATTTTCCTGGTTTGCTTGGTGGCTTACTCATCTAATGGGGACCCAGGATTAATAAACCCATCCCAGTATTAGGGGGGTGTTCCCTCCAAAAGTGATGAATCCCCACTAAAAGGGGACACCCCCCTATTAATCCGGGGTTAACATTACCAGGGAAACCCATCTATTTCCCCTAATTGCCACCTCTGGGAAGGCTGCGCGCAAAAAACGGCAGGCCCCGGCCCTCCTGGAGCGCATCAACGAGAAGGGCATGGCGCAGCTGGCCCGAGGCCTGGAGGCGGGCACTCCGGCCGGCGATCGCCAATTTGGGTGTGGTTCGCAAAATTTTCACCGGAGGGCAAAGCGCAGGTCTTGGTCCATGTCTCCACTTACCAGGGCAAGCCATTTTGGCGCCGGTATTTTTTGAGCCGCGGCCGAATGGACATTTGGAGGGAGCGAACCGCCTCCCAAAATTGGCAGGTTGGAGACCTGATCGACAAGCCCAGGGTGCTGGGGCTGACCACCATGTCGCAGAGGATGCCGGAGCCGCTGCTCGCAAGGATCATTGGCCCCATGTGTTATTTGGCTACGGTCCGAGCGAGCCAAGCGAGCGAGAGCGAGCCGAGGCTGCTGTCTCCAGGTTGCGAGTGGTCGCACTTCGCCAACCTGAGCCATCCCGAGTCTTCGAGCCCCTTGGCTCTGACCCTGGCCAGGCGCGCTGGTGCAATTTTGGGCGCGGTCGGATGTGGCTGGGCTGGGCTGTCTGAGAACTGGGTGCAACAGAAGATTAGGCCATGCGGGAAGCTGATGCCTCGTGGAATCCGGAACCCAGGAATTCTTTGCTGCAAATATGAGACCGCAGTACGGCAAAATGTATGTTCCATCTCTCTGACTCGCAAGTAGTTGGGCCAGGTTGTAGCTCCAAATGATGCTGCAGTGCGGCTTATGTGGCAATGAGAGGTTGGGAGATTGCTTACCTGTTGTGATCCTTTGCTCAGCTTACTCCAGAAGAACGCGAGTTTGGCTTGGAGGCTCGCCTGGATTATGAGGGTGGCTTGCTTCTAGACCCGTCACACGTAGCTTCAGCATGACGTCAGGCCAACCTGACCGCAGCTCAAGCCACAGATGCGCGCAGGTGGCAAGTCTGGTGGGGCCTCATGACCTTGCTCATGCGATGGGGGGACAAGCTTCTGGAGGCCATCGGGAGTGCAAGGGAAGGCATAAGGCACTGGCATTTCCCCTTCAAGGATTGATCAATTGACCGGCGGCTTCCACTACAACTGCCACTTTTGGAGGGTGAGGTTCAATCAAAATAGCGGGGGATAGCGGGGGTCAATGTTGGAGCTTCTTTTGCTTGTGCTATTGTCATTTGTCTTGCCTCCCTCGCGCGGCTTTGAGGGTGCTTGGAAAGATGTTGCGAGCCATGCAGTTGTTTTGCTTTGCCAGTTTTCAACCTGGTTTCGACCGGATGTTTCTTGGTGGAGGTCATCCTGGGCCTACGCTCATCATCACCATCATCATCATCATCATCATCATCATCATCATCATCATCATCATCATCATCATCACATATATATATATATATATACATATATATATATATATACTAATGTATTATAACCCTAATTGAATCATCACTTTTTCCAACATCATGGGGGGGGCTGCCTCCCCCTCCCCCCGCAGCTCCTTTTCAACATACATACCTACCTACCTACCTACCTACCTACCCAAGCAAATATCTTAAGGATGTAGGCATCTGCTGCTGATGCTGGGGATGTTGGCGGAACGTGCGGGGCATGTTGAAAACAATGCTGGCTAGTGTAAAATACGTACATTTCGTCAACAAATGCTGTACACGACATTTTACAGGCCAAGACGAAAAAGAAAAGGAAACAAAAGCCCAAAATAATTCCGCGCCCACGGAGTGCCCTTTACAAGCTTGTAACACAAAGCATAGTAAGATATTATGCAACAGCTCTTCTTGGTAATTACTGGAAGTCGTATGGGCAGAAGTACTCGCTGTATACATATATCTTTTTGTCGTTTTCAAAAGCCGTCTTTGTTCCTCTTTTTGGTGGGGAGGAGGGGGTTGGCAGGCGGGGGGGGGGGGGGTGCGGAGAGTGGAGTGAACCGCCAGGTGGTGATCAAGCTGCTGCCCTGCGTGGTGCTGGAACAGCAGGCCGTGGTGTTGTCCTATTTTTGTTGTCTTAGAAGACTCGAGCAATGGAAGTGGAACCCCTCCCCCCTGCAAGCTGAGCTTGAGTTGGCTAGCTTATTGTCTTATAGGAGGGGAAAGGGGGCGTGTGACTTGCGAACGTTTGTGTACGGTCAGGTTGCAGGAAGTCTGCCAATTCTTGACTTTTGAACTGGTTCTGTATTGCGGTCAAACTCCAGAAAATGTGGCAATACTTTGAAAGGAACAATATGGCCTTGGCTGATTGTTTTGGGATGACCCGTGGGGTTTGTGGGGTCCAGCCAGGTGGGATGGACTGGGTCGATTCAGTACATTCTCAGACCCCCAGTGGCCATGGGAAAAATTGAGCACCCTTCTTTTTGTTGGTTGAGTTTAAAGGGGAACCCTTACCCAAAGAAAGGAAAAACAGGCACCACTGGGCAACGGAGCATTTGGGGATGGGAAACCAAAACTTAGAGCTAACTTTACATAGGGTTGCTTTGCACTCGGGGGGGTTGCTGATTCAGGGTCAGTTTACCAGTCGTAGGTGGATATTAATTGTATAAACATATCCCTGCGTAGTGATGAATTTAGATTTTGACAGTGGTTGGTGCTTGCTGCCGCCACCACCGCCAAACTTATTGCCTCTTGGATCTGCCCTTTCCTTATATAACGCAGCTGACAGCGTCAATATGTCACAGCTGACAGGGCAGCTGAATTGTTGGACCACTCTCTGGAGAGGTTACGACCTGGGTGGCTGCTAGACTTCCTGGACCCCAACTCCAAATGTCGCTTTGAATGCTTTTCTGGACAACCTGGTCAACATCATGTTTGTTACAGGCAAAGTGAGGAGGGGGCCCTCAACCACAAAACCAACAGTCCAGCCAATTGGAGGGAAGCTTTGCGTCAGTGCTCTCCACCTGCAATCAGGTGTTGCTCCTCGGGGATGCGCCACGCGCCTGCGTGGTTGCGTTGCTGCTGCGAGGAATGCCTGGCCCCTAGCGTGAGGATCTCACCGACTTCGGGGGTAAATCGAGCTCATGGGAAAGATCCGTTACTTGGCAATTCCTGTTCTCGGGTTTTGGCAATTTTGTAAGCTTTGTGTCAGAGATTTTGGGAAACGGTTGCACCTCGCCTGTCGAGGCAGCAAGGCTTCAAACAAATCCCTTGGCTGGCAGGGGCGCGAATACCACCAGCTCGTTGCTGATCTTGAGCAGCTCTGGGATTTGAAGAGCGGTCCCGAAAGGAACACCATTTCCACAGCCTGATTCAACACAAACCCCCCTGTGATCGGCCAGTGATTGGCGAACTGAGCATCAGCTGGCCATGCTGAAGACGACTCTTGCGAAGGATTCCGGGTCCTGGCTTGGTCTACGAAGTGCCCGCTAGTGTTTTGATCTCGGTGCCAAGCTTGAGCATTTGGCCTCGAGCCGCGGCCCGAGGCTTTGGCCCTTCCAGTGGCAGCATCCCTTCATTTGCGCGCCCTTACCACCGGCGGCGCTGCACGAACTGCCTCTCTTGGACTGCCTCAGCTATGCTTCGCCATTGGTTCCAAGGGTCACGCCCTCGCGAATTCTTTGCCCATGCGCGACGGGCCTGTGGAAGAACCTGCTTTGGGATCATTTTTACTGAGGTTCGCGGGCGGGGTGTTCCATAATCAAGGTGATGAGAATCTCGTCTGACCATTCTCAGGGGTCCTTTTTCCCAGCAATGGCGATGTTCGTTGTCGTCATCGCTTGCATCGACTAGGCACAATGACATTCACCAGTAAGCAAGGGCTTACTCAACAACTTGCCCATGTCAGTTGGGGCTGACTGTTGTGACCGTGGCTCGTATGGGATTGTGTTGGTTTTGGGAAACCCCTTTTGGGATTATATAAGCATACTAAGGGAACCCCTATTTTGACACATATCCACTATGACAGCATTCTACCATGACACAGCTAGAATGGTGCCAGGGCAATCATCGTCATAGCGGCCTTCTTGAGAAGCAAATGCAATCTTTGTGCGCCGCGTTGTAAGCACCAGGCCCAAACACCAAAAGAACCAGACATTCCTTGCAAGTCCCTCAACTGGAAGTGGCATGGTTTGGCTGGCACTGGCTGATTTGCGGTACGCCTCTTTATGTTGGCACATTGGCAGCCCTTTTCGTTTTCATGGTTGATGTTGGGAGCATTTCAATGCAGCAAGCGTGGCTTTTGCACGCATGCATGCCCGCGAGTGCATGCGTCCGCAGGTTGGTGCGGTGAGCTATTCGTTGTTGTGGTAGGTGTCTTAGGTTGGCTGACATGCTGTAGGCCAGGATTTCCAGTATATGCACGTTCTTCCCCATGATGCGCAACAGGTCCTGAACAGAGTTGGCCACCTCGGATCGATCAGGGAGGCTCATGCATTCCCCCCCCTTTTCCCGGCATGGCCGCCCGCAAGGGTTGAATTAAAGGACATGGGACTTCTTTGCATCCCCGGTGTACGAGGGTGTTCATAGGAGCTGAACTTGCTCCCCTTTTGCCATGCTTCCGTCGAAGGAGGCCTGCTGCCCAATGATCATGGCCTTTGGGGAGATGCCGATGCTTGCCCACTTTTGGCGCCGAGGGCTTACCGATTGGTGAAGCTGGGCGGGAGTGGAATGCTTGGCGAAACTTGGGAACCCTCCAAGCGCTTCGCTCGATGATCTCCATGTCCAGCACATGAAGATGATAGATTGGATGCCGTCGCATTTTTGGACACAAATGCTCAGCTAGCCCTCTGTGGAGAAAACGGAGTGCTTGAAAATGCTGCAATACGTCAACAAAGGATTTTTACATCTACCACACCCACACCCACAGAAATAATATGCATATACACAACTACACAACCCATGCCCACACCCGCATGCACACGCACACGCACAGCCACACGCAGGCACGCGCACAGGCATGCGCACAGGCACGCTCACAGCGCACGCTCACAGCGCACGAGGACATGTAGACAGACACACACACACACACACACACACACACACACACACACACACACACACACACACACACACACACACACCACCCACCCACCCACACACACACACACACCCACGCACGCACGCACGCACGCACCCACCCACACGCAGACGCAGACGCAGACACGCAGATGCGCAGACACGCAGACACGCAGACACGCAGACACGCAGACGCAGACGCAGACGCAGACGCAGACACAGACACAGACACACACACTTAAACTCCAGATGGAGAGTGCTAATCTTTCGAGTACAACTGATGAGTCTCGAGTACAACCGATGAGTCTCGAGTGGGTGGGTTCGGCTCGCAATGCACTCGGTTTCACTCTAGTGTCGAAAACGTTACCAGTTCCAACATGAAGCACACACAGCGCCGCAACCAAGGGGCCAAATAGACTTTCAGAATCACGCAAATGTTGCAGGTACACACGGGTGATCAATCCGTGCATCCACCATCAAGCATAGCTTCGTTGGCCAGCGTTTGCTTGATGGCCGCTGGCCCCCTGCTGAAAATCGGAAAAGGTGGTGACAGGGCATTCTGTCACTCCGCACACACACGCCCCTCAATGAGGGGCGAGAACCACTTTTTCGGGGGGAGAAAAACCACGCGCCCCAAAACCGGGCGAAGACCCCAACAGAAAACAAACGGAGCAAGGGAGCCCAAAAGAAACAGAAAGGCCCCAAGTTGGGTCTCCGCGGGCAAAACCCCAAACAAGAAACAAGAACAACGGGGAAGCCAGGTTTCGGGTCTCCGAGGGCAACAACCCCAACCAGCGCAAAAACGACCTAGACCTTGTAGACGAAAGGGGCCGCGAAGGCAAAGAGGCAGAAGAGGAGCAGGCCATCCCTAACCGGGCGAACAGGAAGTACAAGAAATAGCCCAGAGAGGGAAAGAAAAGGAAAGGGAAGAAAGAAAGGGCGAAAGAGAGAAAGAAAGAGAGAGAGAGAGACAGACACAGAAAGAGAGAGAGAAAGAGAGAGAGAGAGAGAGAGAGAGAGAGACAGAGGCGTATTTAGGGCGTCGCAACCGCCCGGGGGAAAAAAGAAAGGAGCAGGGTGCATATTTAGGGCGCCGCATCCCGCCCGGGAAGAAGGAACAAGAAGCAAAAGGCAGGGAGACAAAAGGGAGAAAAGAAGGAAGAAGGAAGAGGAAGAGGGAAGTAGTAGTATGCGTTTTTAGGGCGACGCATCCCGCCCAGATAGGAACAGAGGATGAAGACCAAGGCTCGCGGAGAAAGACGTCGAATCCCACACAGGGGCCAAGAGGACGGACCCGAAGTAGCAACGGAAGGGGAAGAAGACGTCAAGCCAAACTACGTGAGGAAGAAGAGGAGTAGGAACAGGAAGACAGACGCGAAGACGAAGACGAGGAAAAAGGTGAACAACGCGAGGACAACCAGGCCATCCCTAAGCGGGCGAACAGGAGCGGGACGAACGCGCGGGTCACGAAAGGCAGCGAAAAGAGAACGGGAGGAAGGAGAAGCCATCCCTAAGCGGGCGAAGGACCAGAAGACGGGCACGCGGATGAAGAAGGCGAGAAAAAGGGGAAACGTAGGGTGAGACGTCGCTATGATCTGACCGCTGTCTTTCCTTTAGTGAAACCTCGTTCCTGGTTAAATGTGAAATTCCGCCGTTCTATGATCAGCACGCTGAGGTCAAATTTTCCGACAGAGCCGGCCCGGGGTCACACAATGGGTACACCCGAGGATTCCCCACGAATGGGGTGTACACACTTAAACTCCAGATGGAGAGTGCTAATCTTTCGAGTACAACTGATGAGTCTCGAGTACAACCGATGAGTCTCGAGTGGGTGGGTTCGGCTCGCAATGCACTCGGTTTCACTCTAGTGTCGAAAACGTTACCAGTTCCAACATGAAGCACACACAGCGCCGCAACCAAGGGGCCAAATAGACTTTCAGAATCACGCAAATGTTGCAGGTACACACGGGTGATCAATCCGTGCATCCACCATCAAGCATAGCTTCGTTGGCCAGCGTTTGCTTGATGGCCGCTGGCCCCCTGCTGAAAATCGGAAAAGGTGGTGACAGGGCATTCTGTCACTCCGCACACACACACACACACACACACACACACACACACACAGACACACAGACACACAGACACACAGACACACAGACACACAGACACACAGACACACAGACACACACACACAGACACACACACACGCAAAGCCAGCACAGGTGCCCTCCGTTTGTGAGAGGCATGTTCATAGAGCCAACAAGAGTCAACCAGAGGCCTGCAACCAACCCCCAGTTTCAGAGTGGCATGATGTTGCATTGTGACAATGCGGCGCAGATCGGCATTTTGTGTGGCGATCAATCGCTCCCAGGCTACGATACTGTGTACCAACTGCCGCCCAACATTGTTGTGGGGCTCCTGCGGAACGAGTGGGTCCGGCCACCCAGCGCCATAGCTAGCCTTTTGGGCCGGCTGCGTGTGTTTGGCCCATGTGAAGACAGAAGCCACTCCAGAAAGGGGCCCCGGCATGAGCCAGAGAGGGATGGCGCGGTGTGAGGTCTATTTGTTCGCACTCAGCTTGCAAGGGAAAAGCGCGCTTGATGAACAGAAAGACCCAACGCTGCCCACTCCGGTCTCCATTGGTATGGTGTCTGGTCGAAAAGCCGATTAAAGGGCAGCTGAATATAGCTGAATGCCACCATCGGTGTCCGGATGGCGATGGCCCTACAAGAAAGTAAGATTGTTAAAATGTATCAACCCGCTCAACGCGGGAACTACCTTTGATGACGGATGGGTTTGTCTTCAAGTCCGCAGTGAAGCTGACCACGTTACCCATAGCCTTCGGCCGGTTTTGGAGCAGCTCCTCGCTGCGTTTGCGGCCACGTTTTTGCCTTCGGACCGAAAACCGCGCTCAACGGCGTGCGCGTTTTCAGTTCGTTGGCAGAAATCAGAAGCATCGCTGATCAGCACACCCGCTCACGATTACCCGTTCAGCACTGCAGTCATGCCTGCCACATGATCAGCACACCCGCTCACGCGTACCCGGTCAGCGCTACAGTCATGCCTGCCACATGATCAGCACACCCGCTCACGCGTACCCGGTCAGCACTGCAGTCATGCCTGCCACATGATCAGCACACCCGCTCACGCGTACCCGCTCAGCACTGCAGTCATGCCTGCCACATGCTCATCAGCACTGCAGTCCCGCTCACGCGCTCACCCCCGCTCAGCACTGCAGTCATGCCTGCCACATGATCAGCACACCCGCTCACGCGTACCCGCTCAGCACTGCAGTCATGCCTGCCACATGATCAGCACACCCGCTCACGCGTACCCGCTCAGCACTGCAGTCATGCCTGCCACATGATCAGCACACCCGCTCACGCGTACCCGGTCAGCGCTGCACTCATGCCTGCCACATGATCAGCACACCCGCTCACGCGTACCCGCTCAGCACTGCAGTCATGCCTGCCACATGATCAGCACACCCGCTCACGCGTACCCGCTCAGCTGCAGTCACTGCTCAGCACTGCAGTCATGCCTGCCACATGATCAGCACACCCGCTCACGCGTACCCGCTCAGCACTGCAGTCATGCCTGCCACATGATCAGCACACCCGCTCACGCGTACCCGCTCAGCACTGCAGTCATGCCTGCCACATGATCAGCACGCCCGCTCACGCGTACCCGCTCAGCACTGCAGTCATGCCTGCCACAGCGTATCAGCACACCCGCTCAGCGTGCACCGTCAGCACTGCAGTCATGCCTGCCACATGATCAGCACACCCGCTCACGCGTACGCGCTCAGCACTGCAGTCATGCCTGCCACATGATCAGCACGCCCGCTTGCGTACCCGCTCAGCACTGCAGTCATGCCTGCCACATGATCAGCCCACCCGCTCACGCGTGCCCGCTCAGCACTGCAGTCATGCCTGCCACATGATCAGCACACCCGCTCACGCGTACGCGCTCAGCACTGCAGTCATGCCTGCCACATGATCAGCACGCCCGCTCACGCGCACCCGCTCAGCCTGCACTCACCCACCCAACCTACCGACCAACCAGCCACCCAGCCAACCAAGCAGCTAGCGACAGCATGGCCACAACACAACACAGCATGCAAAGCATATGTCCCGAATTCGCTGTCTTCGCAATCGCCGCTGCTGTATCTCTATGTAAAGTCTTGGCAGTGGCGGTACATCTTGCGACAGCGAGATGTGGAGACGCAGACTGTGCGAGCCCTGCGCCGGAGGTGAAAACGGCAAGGCAGCAGAGTGGGCGAGATAACTCGCGTTTCGCCTAGGCGAAACGCAAAACGCATGAAAAACTGACCCCTGTTTTCGGCCTCGTTTTTGGGGACACAGTAAGCGTTTCGCCTAGGCGAAACGCAAGTTTTTTCCAGAAATGTGGCTAACCGCAAGCGCGGTTCTCGGTCCGCCGGGACGTTTTTGTTGTTTTGTTTTTTGCTTGGATCATTCAATGGGCTCAAGGGGGCTCAAGAAATGTGTGGATTCACATTTTTGGGGAAGCCCTGTCGTCGCTCCAGCAGTCCCGTTTCGCAAGCCAATTTGCGATTTGCCTCACCCACCCACCCAGGTCTACATCAATGAGAAGCTGGAAACGACCGGCGGGCTCTCAGGTGTGACGTCAGGGTGCGAATGTGCATCAAGGGTGCAGAGGTAGACATGGAACTTCTTAAGCAGCCGGACATTTGCTACGAAGGGGTGGAAGTAGCTGGCACAATTACCCTTCTGTGAGTAAGTAAATCAAGGGGAAGACCAAACCAAACCGGGAGAATTGTGCCATCTACTTCTTCTTTGTTTTACCCAACTGCAGTTGTATACTTTATTCTGGGGGCGATTTCGGGGTTGGATTCAGTGGTGGTTTTGCTTGAGTATTTCCCCATCCTTGCAAGTTGCATTAAAGCGTATGGTTAATTTGGGAGGTGGGGCAAGTCACCAAATGTCCCGCAGAATCATTTGCCCGTTCCCATTTTGGAACCGCATATTTGGATAGTGGTTAACCTGATCATGACTGATGGTGGGGGAGGGCATGATTCATCCTTGATAAGCAGCTAGCCTGGTGTCCTGTGATTCTTCACACTTCATGACATCATGATCGTTGCATTGAAGGTGAATCACTTGAGCGTTTTTCATGAGGGGAGTTCCCAGATGGACCTGTGTTTTGTCCTTTCAGGTGCTGAACACCCCTCCAACCCGTACGGTGGCCTTGCAACTTCTGCAGCTCTTTGCCCCAAGTTGCAACCGCAAGAGCGTGGAGTATCCGATTGAGTTGAAGCGATGTGGGCACAACAAGGGCTCAGGACACCAGTCGCGATTCACTCACCTGGTTTGGATTTGGTGGAGTGTTGCCAACCCCGGATTAATAAACCCCTGCTTATTAGTTAACCTTGTGTGGGGGGTGTTCCCCTCCAAAAGTGATGATCCCCCACTAAATTCAGGGACACCCCCGTATCAATAAATAGGCGGGTTATTAATCCATGGGTTGACATGTCCACTTTCCTGCATGCCAGGGACGAACACGTCCAAGTTCCCGCCTTTCGTGCAAACAGACCTGCGGAACAAGATCAAGGAGGCCGAGCGACAGCTTGATGCAGGCTTCCTGTTGGCCCGATGCAGGTTTGACAGGTGTTTAGGTCAGGGTTGTGGGATCAAGGGGGTTATCCCTACGGGACCCCTTCTGGGCAGGTGGTGTCCTTTTGGTTTCCTTTTGAAGCCATCCGAAAAGGGTCCCCTATTTTTGAAAGACACGCATGTGTGGTGGGGACCTGCAATGGTCCGTGCCACCCTGCGACACGGTGGACTCATTCCAGGCGCGCAAAAGGCTCCGGAACCGTCAGAACGGGCAAGAGTTCTTGGATGCCGTGCAGCAGGCGCAGCTTACGTGCTCTTCATGACACCCTGTCAGCTCGGTGGTCTTGGTGAAATTTCTGCGGCTTGAGTAAGGCTTGCCAGAAGGACGAACCACAAACTTGATATACGCAGGGAACCAACATGCATCCCTTGGAAGCACCCTTGAGGTCTTAGTTGTTGGGATGTCTTTTGGGATTCAATTTTAGCTCGACTTTTCAGCAATCCCTAGATGGCACGTCAATAATTTCTGACGTATTCCGCAAAGGATCGAAACTCAGCAGAATGAGAGGATTAGGCTCAGGTACATGCAAAGTGGTAGCCCTTCAACTTCCGGCATGCCATTGGATGCTTTGCATGCTTTGCCATTGCACCCTCGTTTGATCTGCTTATTTTCTAGCAAGCTCAAATGGGGATGGAGGGGGGGGGGGCAAAACAAGCTCCCCATGGCCAGACCCTTTACTTGGCAAAGGAGAACGGTCCGATTCTTATTTCAGGTTTCCAACGTCTAGTAAAGTTTGCAGAATGATGGGCTCAGGCTATGTCAGAGACCATGGGCTCCCATCATTTGTAACGGTTGCGACTCGCCTCTTTGAGGCATTAAGGCTTCAATAAAAAAGCCCGTGACAGGTGCGCAAACATATCCTTGACAGATTTGGCAGTGGGTGAAAACCATGTACCCCTGGTGAAAATCAACATAGGTGGCAAATGGATGTTCATCCACCACAAAAATGGAGCCATAGGTTCTGCCCCATGGCCAATTGATGACCCCCATCCCCATGTTTTGCTTCACACATGCCTGGCGCCTGGCTACACGCGTGACACGCGCCCTGCGGGGGAGGTGCAGGACGCGGTGACGGAGGCGATCGGGAAGCTCGCGGGGCTGGTGAAGAGCTATGCCAAGAGCACCGCGGCAGTCGAGAGATCGGCGAAGGGTGAAAAGACTTAAGATCGGTTCCTTTATCTTTGTGGTTCATCCTTCCGGGTCCTCAGTTTTAGGTATTCATCTGGTTTTTGTAGTGCGGGTTTCGATTTCACCCACTAAAAGTTGAACTTTTTGGCCATCCATAGACAACTTTGCACCCAGCAAAATTTGGACCAACCATAGCATATAGGGGCGCGTGGGTGTTGATAGTTGGTGCGTATGTGTGTCTTGTTGTACTTTTTGGGTAGTTACTGCATGCTATCCTGCTTGAGGAAGGAATTCCTTCCTCATCCCTGGTTTGTTTTTCCCAAAGTGATGTGCTATTCAGTTGTCGCGTTTTTAGGGGGACAAGTTGAATTTTGCTTAGGGAGACATCCCCAGATCCCGATGCCCTCTGGGGGTTCGCCAAAGGATTCCTAACGAACTGCAGAGCT